TATATATATATATATATATATATATATATATATATATATATATATATATATATATATATATATATATTTAAATAAGCTTTTGTGCTCGGTTGTTAATCATTTACCCTATTTCAATTTAAACTCGTGCAAGACTTCAGTTCTAATAGTGATAAATTTTAAATGGTGCAAAAGCCCAAAGACAAATAAGAAAATGACATGAAAAGTCAGCAGCCACTCCTCTTTTTTCTGTCTTTGCAGCTGCCTTGCACTGTTTAAAATGTGACACGGTGTACATCTGAGTTTAATGTGTGATAGGCAGAAGATCATTAAGAGAGGAAAAATGAAGACAAAAGATATGCAGCTATATGTGCATGCCTGCAGGGTGAAATGAAAAGGAGTGTACCTTATTGCCTTGGTTTTATATTTTGCAGCAACAGTTCAGTGTAAAGCTCTGTCAAGCCTAGTTTAAATCCTTTTTCTCCTCTATGCTGTGTGATGTTATATAGTTATCTTAATGATAATCTCTGCCTGTATTTCTCCCCCTGGCATTTCTGTCAGGCTGGGTTGGTTTGCTCCTTATCAACAGCTTTGTCATTAAATCAGCTTTTCTACAGACAAATTTCACTGCTGGTACTCTTATCGAAATATCAGCACACTGTGATTTTTTTGTTCCATTAGAGCTTTGCATAGTGATGTATGGGTAAAAAGATAAAGCACAAAAGAAACTTAGTTCAGAAATAAAATGTTTATTTTCGCGTGAAGATTGATAGTTAGACAAACTAAACTGGTACATATTGCATTTTTATACCATCAATAATTTGAGTTGTTCTTATTTATATAAAATCGTTTATCTGTTTATCTGAACAGCTTAATTTAAGGCTATTTATTGACAGAATTTATTTTATACTGATGAATAGTTTTATCCCCAATTCATATATAGCTGACTTGTGCAATCAATGGCTTCATTTAGATGCAGTTGCTGTGAAGTATGATTTCAATATGTTGGTCATCAAACAACACAAGCACACATATTATGACAGTTGTGATGTCAAGGGCCATAAATCTGTACTGTAAGTGCAGAAGCAAGCTTTTCAGCCTCAGTCAAACTGACCTCCTGAAGCTTGAATTGGGATTCAGTTCTAATAAGAAAGCCCTGTTCTGACTGAGTGAACGTTCTGATTGTCTCAGCATTGTGCTAGAGTGGAGTGCAGCGCCAAATGAACTTTGCTGATTCAATCTTCTTCACTGTGACAGGGATTCAGATAGTCAGTTAGGTGGAAGAACTGAGTCTCCTTGCTCCAAACATAGCTTCTTACAGCGCGGTAAGCTGGTGTATGGCAGCGGTCCAAAAGGTCTCTTGAATGTTGTTTGTGTTGCAGGATCAATCCCTCCTCTGTCTTCCCACAATGAGCTAAAAGCCTCTGGTGGCTGATAGCCTGGCTCCTGAGGATCCAGAGGATCCTTAGAAAGAAGGATGCTGATCGAAGGTACAGTCCTGTGCACCGTCATCTCAGATGCAGCCCCCTGGTTGCTCTCCCAAACTTCTTTCACCACTTTGTACCTGAGCTTAGTCATTTGATGCAGACAGCCCACTTTTCGTTTCATAATCTCAGCACAGGTGATGGTCTTTGTGACGGCGCGACCTGACCCAGTGAATACAACCTGCCTGAGCCCACTGACGGTCCCACCTCCCGCACTTCCAGTCTTTTCTCCTTGCATCCGAGCCATAGCAAATCCCATTAGGTTGCGGATCTTGCTACCCTCTTTGACACGCATCTCCAGCACCCCAGAAGCCAGACCTGGAAAGGGACAGGGGCTGTCCTCCTCAGTACGGCAAACTTTTTTGAAACCTTCCTGCCCTAGTTTAACAGCCGCTGGAGAGGGTGGCAACAGCGGAGGTTTTATTGTGTCAGAAAGACTGTTGTTAAACGCAGGTTGCATTATAGTGTTTGTATAACTTTGACCCTCATAAAAAGGGCCAGTCCCTTGGTTTACTCCATTAGCAGTCTGGTTTGTTCTCTTTACCTCCAGTCCAGGTTGTTGTGTGACATTGCTGTTAGGCAGACAGTGGTTATGGCCACTGAACACTCCACATCCTGTAAACATTTCTCCTCTCCCCAGTGCATCAATATATAGTTAGTCCAAATACAGGCTTATCCATTATAGAACTAAGCAAAAACCTAATTTTCTTAAGCACTTGGCAGTTCTGTCTGTCTCCAGTCAACAGCTGTAGTTTTAAGATTGTGTATAAGAAATATTACTCACTCCCCAAGAGCTCTATCAACAAAGATTTTAATGTTCCTTCTCAGAGAAAGTTGAAGAGATAAGATTAATTCCTGGCTGATGAATTAAAAGCACTGTTGGGACTTTTCAAGATGTTCTTTAAAGAGCTTCTCATTTTCAAACCACCATCGCCTATTTGGAACGTGTTCCAGATTCCTAGGAAAAGAAAAAAAAATCTGCAATTAGCCTTTCATTCTGTTGCATATATTTTTATCAATTCTATAATAATTTCTGCACAAGCAACTGTGCGCTTCAAGTCTCCTTTACCAAAACTTTTTTTGAAGAGAAACTGAAAGCTCATATCGGGACTCCACCTTTTTCTTTTGCGGTCCAATCCAGCGTTGACGACTCTGACCTGCTGTTCATCTTGTCTTCATTTCTGAAGTGACCTCTTGGCTTGTTTATTTTATTTTTATTTCCACCTCTTCTTCTGGACTTCAGATTTAGGCTCCCCTTGCTTAAGTTGCTATGTCTTTCCTTTCCACATGCCCATTTTTGGGATCCGTTGAAGCTGTGACCAGGGGTGCACAGAAGTCTGCAGCCCGGGTGTTGTCCCTAGAGATGTATCTTGTCTTCAGTGATGCTCTAGGAACTCTGCTCTGTTCCCTACAAAGAGACATAAGGGACAGAAGCTGCCTAACAAATGCTCACAGGAGGAGTGTCTGTGTGGCTGAGGGGAAGCAAGAGGGAATGGGGAGACAGCCCTCTTAAAGGCACAGGTCTTTTCATCTTTTAGACGAACACCCTCCCTTCCTTGACTAAAGCCTGCCATCTGAGGGAGGAAAAAAAGGGTAGGGCTACCAGGTCCCTTTAAAATGTGGAATGCAGATCCCCGGCAACTTTGTCAATCTCTTTAGAGGACGTTCCAGTGTTTAATGTACATGACTGATTAAACCTGAGTTCTGAAATAGAGAGTCAGTCAAGCTTTAAAAATGCATTTTCAGCTGCGAAACAATGAATTAAATTAGCTGTGTTATAATTGAAAACATCCTTCAAAGGGCTGCTGAAAGTCAGCAGCATTAAATTGCACTGTACTTAGCCTTTCTCCTATTCGATGTTTGCAGCAATTTCAATTTACATAATGCAACATTAATAGCTTCATTGTTGGGGCAATCAAGTGGCACGGTAAGTATGTCTGTCTCTTAACGCATGGACTGTTATACTGTCACAAGCCAGGGAGCCCTTGTGATCAAGGACACAAGGGCCACAAAATGCATGGCAGCATGACTCCCATGTTCAAGGTGCTGTAATGGTAATTGTCTTCATTAGCTTGCTTTATGGGTGTGAGTGAAAAGTTAGGGCTGACAGGTGAGGTAATAAGTATCGTGACTTTCTGTCACCAGAGGAGGGCGCTGGCTCGCAACCCACTGCTCCAAGCCCAAACCCCAACAGCTGTGGCATTGCCCTGTTCAGCCCAGTCTCCTGGTCGACAGGTGGATTTGTTTTTGTGTGTGACTGACAGAAGAAAGAATGGGTAAAGACAGCCCACTGAGGCTGAACCTATAAGGTAGAGAGAGAGAAACCGACAAGTCCTAAGTACTCTCTGCTATGTACATCTTCTGGTGTGCAGTAGTGCACGCACAGTCTAAACTCACTGTGACTTTCTCGGTCCATAAAATGAGCCTAATTCACAGTGGCATGTGTATTATATTAGATCCCTATGGTAATCAAGGAAAAAAATGAGAAAACCCCCCAAGTCCCATGGTTAAAGTGGAAACCTCTTTTATTAACTGTGCCCTAGTTTAACCTAAGGATGAGTGGATTTGTTAAATCTGTCTGAATGATTGACAATTTTTTTTGTTTTTGTTAATTCATTTATGTAAGACAGTAGTGCTATTCATTTCAGAAAGAAAAAAAAATCCAGGCACTGCATGAGACAGGGTAACAAATTTCTGTCTTTTTCTCGCCTCTTTGTAAGCTAAAAGGAAAAAGGGAGAAAGAAGACAAGGGGAGGAGGGAGTGTCTGTCGCACTCACCACAAAAGTGATCATTCTGTTGTTTGGGAGAAATTACCCTCATCAGTCATACAGAGATGCACAGCTGCCTAAGGGGATCTGGTAATGTTACTGCATAATAAACTGTGTTTATGTGTGCACACATATGTGTATGTTCAGAATGACAAAAAGGAGGCAAAAAAAACAGCAAAAGAGTGCAGGGGGTAAAAGATATGTAATTTAACCATAAAAGGGTTAAAAACTTATGCCATCTAATTATCCCTATTTTTCCTGTTCTATTAGGTTTATGCCTCATTTCTCAAATTAGGTTTAGAAACCTGTTTGCTGCTGGTAATGTGACGAATCACATGATGCTTTCTAGTGTAGAAAACACGCTTTCTTATTATCCAATGAAACGAGTGTGAAACTCTTCAAAGCTGAAATAAAACCATCAGGAACATGTGAAAGTGCTGTGTATCGACCTTTGCAAGCATAGCCTTTTTCCTTTAAGTGCCTTCGTTTAATGATGGCTTTAGGTGGTGCTCACGCTTGGTCACCCAAGTTTTTACACCTCCTCCTCATATCTGGCCTCTGCCCCTGTAGCTCTCTAAGCACTTACTCTTCACTTTAACTGACCTTGGATAGCATCTGTGTCCATCTCTGAATTCTTTTCAGCATGCTTACACCACCATCTTCACTGTCTTTACCATTCATCAAACACCTTTGGCTTTTCCACCATCGCCCCTTGGGGATTTAAGTAAAGAAAACCATTTGTCCACAAAAGCTTTGACAAATAGGACTGGCTTTTTTCTTGCCAGCCTCCGGACTTTGTACTCCAGGTGTCTAAAATAGTTGATGTTGTAAATTATTAGGCTTCAAACTGATTGTAGCATCACTGCAGAGTTGAGTTTTAGAGCAGCTTGATGTTCTGCACATAACCACGTTGTCTCACTGTGACAGCCGGTCTCTCACTTTACGTTAACTGCAACTGTTTTCACGGTCATCAACCAATGGTGGCCTGGAGGCTGTCATTTCACTCTGTATGGAGCTTGCCTGCAGCTCGGTTCTGCCCCACAAACTCACAGCCGGCCCTTTCACACAAACAATGATGCATATGCACACCCTCACACAAAGGCAAGTGTACGCACTCCCATGCTCTCACACAAACTATATGCTCAGCATAAGGCAAGCTGTTGGAGCAATTACAGAAACATGACAGAACACGATGATGCAGGCCCCACTATCAGAGAGGAAATAGAGTGAGCAGAGGAAAAATGATGACGCCATTAATAACAGCGAAGCTCCGAGACTTGTGGGAAAGAGGGGGTGGATGACCCTCTCTTTGATTTCCCTGTGACAGCACTTTGAGGTTCGAATGGTTATGTTTTTACTAGATTGCTAAAGTTTGAATAGGCATATTTTCATGTCAAAAAGCAGGACCAAATTACAACATGACGACTAACAGACAACAAGCTATAAAGTGATGTTTTACTGTCTCTCTGACTGCTGTTATTTTGGAAAATGACCACTAAGATGCCCTTACCTCTGTTTTAAGCCAGTCACGAGTCTCCATCATTTGTACCCCAGCTGCTTCCTTATACAGTCAGTGCTGCAATGCAGATGTGCTGCACAAAGGGCCAAGAAACTTTAACTGAAGATGTTTTTGAGAAAAAAGAAATGTATACTGTATATATATATATATATATATATATATATATATATATATATATATATATATATATATATATATATATATATATATATATACACACAATTATAAATGAATAGTACCACCTAACATAGATCCAGTGCAGCAAAAAGGGAGAAAAAAATAACACAAGGATTGGAACTTAAATGTCAAAAAAAATTTCAAAGCTGCTCCTTACTCAAGCAAATGTTTGAATTTCTTTTCTAAGGCTCACTCTTATATTAAAGGGAGGATTTCGGCCTTACCATTTAATTGAAATAGTTGGAGTTTAATCACATTGCCTCATGCTTCTAGTTGTGCATGATTCACATTCGTTTTGATAGATGGTACCATCTTTAATTTCAGTTGGCAGTGGCATTTAAAAACAGCATGCATTTATTTATTCTGTTTTATCTGGCCTTGGGGTTGAAGTTAATGGACTTGATAGCATTTATTTTAAATAAATTACTTTAAGAATTAATTATCCATGTTACAATAAATAGAAAAAGCTAATGAATTGCCAAGAGGCTGTCCTTAATGTTCCAGATTTAAAACTAATTTTTGTCTATTTATATTCGACCCATTAGACATACAACAATAAGAATGAAAAGGTTGCCTTGATAAGGAGTTGACCAAGAAGGGTTTCATAGTAACGACTGCTGCTACACTATGGAAACATTACATGTTGCATTATTTTTAACGCCGTTTTCTTTTTGTCTAAAGGTTTAGTAAACTTTCAATTTATTTTTGGTTGTCCTAAACAAAACACAAAACCAATAAAAAAAATTAAAAAAAACATATTTGTAAAGAGTAGGTTTGAATGCTGCTGGTTCTATTACGTGAATAATTACTCTGTTAAAATACAAATCAAGAAAAGCTCTTTGAATTTATCCATGACTGGTAAACCTTTTTCTGATGATGTGTGCATATATTTCAAAGTTTTAAAGTACAGTGAAAGAGAAGGGGAAATTTCTATCCCTGCTCCCCTACCACGACACCCAGATTTGTAGAGGTTTAAAAATACGTTGATCTGACAAATTATGTTGATGAAAAAATGAACATTTTGATCAACATAGTAATTGTAAGTATGCACTTTTTCTAGGTTTATCGTTTCAATATATGAACATGTTTTTTTAAAGCACTCAGTCACAGAGAATGTTAGGGACCCAGCCGTCAAATATTTTAATAACTGAGTCATCGATCAAATGATTATCCATTTAATGGTTGTAGCATGTAGTTGGTTTAACAGATGTGTGTGCCTTCACCTCTTTCATTTCTTCACTTCATACTTTGGACCTTGTGCTGACATAAGGCATTGAATTTAAAGAAATAACAGCATACCCCCACAACCCTGACCTCTCTGAACACTTTTTAGCAACCTTCCCCCCAAAAAGGTTTCACTTTAGCAGATCGTTATTGGATAATGCAGTCAAAAATTTTCAAGAATTTGTTGCACTTTTAATCTTCTCTGTATCACTTAACAATAATATAGAGGGCAAACATTTAATTAAAAAATATTTTTTGTTAACTAGTAAAAACTTTCAAAATAAAAAGCTGGCTCCCTGGTTTAATGCACATTGAAGCTAAATACTAGCAAACTGGATAAAAAAAATTGGTGCTCTATATGCATACAGGAATCCTGCCTAGTCTGGAAAAACAGTTTAAAGCTTTATACAATAGCACTGAAACAGCTCTGGTGAAAGTCACTAAAGATATTCTTGTGGCCTCAGAAAATGAACTTGTATGTGTACTTGTCTTATTAGATCATAATGCTGCATTTTATACAGTCTATCATAATGTTCTTCTTGAAAGCTTTGAAAATTTTGTTGGAATTTGGGGGAACAGCACTAGGCTAGTTGAAATCTTATTTATCTGAATGATTTAAGTTTTTTTTCGCGTTGATGAGTGCCACAGGGATCAATGCTAGGGCCAATTCTCTTTACTATATAGATGCCCCAAAGGTAGAAATATTAGACAGGACGGTATAACTTCTACTGTTATGCTAATGACACTCAAATATATCTATCTCCAGATGAAATTAACCCATGACAT